GGACTCAAGCTAACAGGAAGTGTCAAAATAAAACACCTGGACCTGTCTGAGGAAGATATTTAATTATCTTTTGTATATTAATAAACTACATCACATTAGTTTCTCTAACTGCAGTCAGAAGCTTAGATATCTTGTTTTTTAAATGGACCTTGGTGCATCAGGATTAAGGGTTAATTTTCAGTGTTACCTTAAGATGATCAGGTCACATGTGTCCGCTCACATTCAAAGGAATATTTCCCAACAAAACAGTCATCAGTTTATCAGCGAATCAATCCATGTAAATCTAAACTCTTAAAACTTCTTCCATAGTGATCAAAGAAATCGTGGAATAATTTAATAATACCACTCACAACTTTCCAAACGTCCATTTTCAAAGTTAATTATCTGTAGTTTTATATAGGACATCAGATCGTCCCTTTTACAGAGTTGGAAAGTCATGATCTTTAAGTCACTTTATCGCATTGGTTATACATCTGCAGAATTACATGTACAAAGTACAAAAATAGAAAATGTTTTTTTCTTTCTCTTTTCATTTTAATCTTCTTTTCTTTTCACTGTCTGTTCCTTTCCCTCTCTTTGTCTCTGCTCATGTTTGGCAAACAGGAACAAACTTGGCAGAGAACCAGAATCCTCCTCTCCCTCTCTCCTCCTCCCTATATCCCTCTCTCCCTCTCTCCTCCCCTTTTCTCCCCCTCTGTGTGTTCATTCAGGTCTCAGTCGATCAGCCATCAGTTCTCCCTCTCTTTGTCTCTCTGTAATGATCATGTGCAGTGTGAGTCTGCTGTCTGTTTATCTGAGCGGAGCCTCACTCATCCTGCTGACTGCTGGTGAGTCCTCTGACTGTGTGTGTGTGTGTGTGTGTGTGTGTGTGTGTGTGTGTGTGTGTGTGTGTGTGTGTGTGTGTGTGTGTGTGTGTGTGTGTGTGTGTGTGTGTGTGTGTGTAGGTTGGAGCCAGCTAGCAGCCATGCACTGTGTGATGCTCCCTGACCTCCTTGGACTGGACAAGTTCAGACCTCCTCTGCTAGAGATGTTGGCGAGAAGATGGCAGGACCGCTGTCTGGAGGTAAGACACACACACACACACACACACACACACACACACACACAATAATATCAAGCAACCCCATGTTGAAGGAAACGTTACCCGTATTGTTCTTTCTCTAATAACAGGATAATTTAGATGAATTATTTGAAATGTTGCCAAGTTGGATATATCTGTTACACCTACCATGCAAGAAATGAACCATATTTGTTAACTTTTTTTTAAATGAATAACATTTTAAAAATGATATAGCATGAGCTTCAACATGGCTATTCACCTAATGACCCTGTATGGAAGTAAAATAAAAATTCATAACCTTACCCTATTTAATGTTTTAGGTGCGTGAAGCAGCTCAAGCTCTCTTACTGGCTGAGTTGAGGCGGATTGGCCAATCAGGACGTAAAGACACCATTGACTTGTGGGCTCCATACCTGCCTCAGTATGTGGACACTGTCAGCTCCCGTAAGTACCCAACACTGCCATATAACTCAAAGAATGATAGACAGATGTGATTTGTTTTATACCACCTTTTAGTTGTGGATGTACAGCTTGAACAGGAGGGGGCCGAGCACACAGCCCTGGGGAACCCCAGTTTTGAACACAAGAGTAGAGGCTGTGTGACCACCAAACCAAACCAATCTGAGTGATAGCTCTTTGTGAGAAATTCCAATATGCAGTTGCAGAGAGTGTTTTTAAGCCCAGAGTGGTAGGTTTAATAAAAAATATTGTGTGGGAGAAATGTGTTGAAAGTTGAGCGGAAATCAACAAAAAGCATTTTGACTTAGGTGTTGTTATTTTACAGACGTGGGAGTACTAAGTGGAGGGCAATTGAGACTGCATCCTCTGTGGATATGAGGAAACAAATACAAGATATGTGAAAGAAGTTTATGAACGCATCGTTAGCAATGAAACAGGAAGTTGTCTTTTAGGGATGATAAACTTCCTTATGAAAAAGCTCTTTGAAGAATCACAGACTGGAAAAAAAAAAAAAAAAGTGTAGTTCCATTACCATTCACCATGGAAAATGCACAAAACTTGGCGTATGCATTAAGAGAACCCAAATATATTCACTGTTACAATTTCCCTGCTTTTGTATTGTAAGGGGACTCATTAGCAACCGCTACAAAACTTATTCAGATTTTGTCCGTTCCATTTTAAGAACCTAGAGACTAAAATACAAAGAAAGTTTTCCATTGCAAGACCCTTGCTGTGATGTCGTAGCTACTTTTGAGACACTCGCCATAATACAGAAGGTTTGTACAACTCCAATGTACATTGTTTTAACAGCCCTAAATCCCATATGCATGATAAGAATCCCTGTCGGAGGAATTTCTATGTTGCCAACAATAACCCGCAGTCATAGACCAACGACCAGCAGAAAGTCAGCCTTGTTTGATGTATGGTCTACACATGATATTCAGTACAGCATCATAATAATGCTTGTTTAGCTAGTGTTTTCTAGCGCCACATACTGGATAATGAAAGTACCGCATGATTTGCAATGTGTCATTTCCATTGTCTTTCCCTGGTTCTTTAATAGTCATCCATTATGCACTGCAGCGGTTACAGGGTCACAACTAGGGATGCATATCGTTGACTTTTTTACGATACCAATACCACTGAACGACACCGATACTCAACTGATACATATCGTGATACTTTGAAAATGTATCATCCCACAATTACTCCCATGAAGCGCTTTACGATATAGTTAACATGTCAAATGATAATTACATTAAATTGTGGGACTTCTTGGACCTTTTAGTACTGAACAAACAATGAAAAATACATAAAAAATACGAAGAAAACCGATTATAGAATATCTTTTATAACACCTGCCATCAGGTCTGCCGCGTGAATAGCACATCTTGTCAATGCAAACAGACCGTTATAGCACCGTTATAATTAATGTTAAACCTGAGATTCGACTAGAGAAAAAATAAATAATAGAATAAAGGTCATGAGATCTCGGCATTGCACAAACAAACAAATCTCATCTTTAAAATCAACATTTGCCTTCACTGGTGAGAGAAAACAAATCCCATCACAGTTAATTTGTGGGACTTACCTTTCTAGTATTGAACAAACAATGAGAAATACATAAAATATGAAGAAAAACGATTATGCAATCTAATTTATAACCCCCGCCATCACGGGCCACGGACTCACTTTTAAAATTAAATTTTTTTTTTTTTAAAGTATCAAAACCGGATCTGATTTCGGTACGGTATACCGTAGCCACCAGTAACCGGTATTTCGGTAATACCGGATACCGGTATGCATCCCTAGTCACTAATTGAAAGTTAAGATCGCGTTGAGTTCGACGCAACAGGGTTTGCGATGGTATGTGGGGTGGTAGAATTAATTATGAACAAATAACGACAACTGATAAAATAACATTTAAATTGTTTTTGATTTATATATCCTTATATAACCTCTTCTACATGACGATATGCTACATAAATTTTCTTATATTCCTTGGTGAGTTACGTTGGATGTGCTGGTTCGGTTTCTCTACTTCCTTTCCCTGCCTTTTTTTTCTTTTCCCCTTTTATCCCCTCCTTTCTAACCTTTTCCACACGTTGGCTTCTTATCACTTTACTCCTTTTTTCCCGTCTCCTGCCGACTATTCCCGCTCGTACCCTTCCGTTTACTTCCATCCTTCCTCTCCGCCTCCTCTTCACCCTTACTTTTGTCTACCAATTTTTCTTTGTCCGTAATAATCCTCCCTCCACCTCTTCCGACCCTCTTCTTTTCGTTTACTACACTCCTCCCCCCGCCCAGAGATTGGTCGTCCAGGTGCCAAAATTATCTTCTGTTCCTGTACTGACATACTAGCTCGCAGTCTAGCACTTGATCTGTGACTCTAGTCTCCCTCCTCTCTCCTTTACCACTGGACGCACAATCGCTTAGTTTCCTCGATAGTGTGTGTGGCAAACTGGGATTTTTTGACCCACACAACAAGCTTTACGGCGACACACTACGGCTGTTACTAGGTCCTGAACAAATTAGTTCACACACACGTTAATAACTCACACACATTCTCTGGGAGAGAGAGAGGTCGCGCGGTGGTGCTAGAGGGAAACGAGGGGGGACGTCTAGAGGTTCAGAAGGTGGGTTTCGTAATTTCGATAATGAGAGGCAATACGCACTCGTCTCGCGAAGTTCTTCCCAAAATCTCCCACCAACCGCCATCCGCTCGGGAAAGGGTGGCGGAAGACCTCAAGTGATTAGGACGGATTCGATCCGGATCTGGACGGGCAGAAGAGACTGTGTTTGTAGTTTTTTGTATCAGCTAAAAGAGTAGGAAATGAGAATTTTCTCTTCTGCTCTTACTTATAAAGGGTGAAAAAACCAGAATTTTAGTTATGAGAATAAGAGATCATCAATAATGTCGTTTGGAGACAATAATTGGCAAATAATTTTCAACTTTAGGAACTTCATAATAACTTTTATACCTAATAATTAGTTTTCGTGTAATCGCGAAACTACATGATGAATACATAAACAAAAGTAAAAATACTCACAAAATACGGAAACCAGACGAAAATCAAAATAACACTTATCAGACTTCGGATACGGAGGTTCGTCGATTGAATTTGACCTTCGGCACATTACCTATTTGCGACGACGGAACCCAAATAAAGAAGGGAGACTTCACGTCTCAATTGTTGACGGTCGAAGCGTGGGCAAGCAGTGAAACACAATTTGGAAAATTTTGCTAAGGTCCTCTCCGGAGTTTCCAGTCCTCCGGTACGACACACACACACACACACACTACACATAACACACACACCACACACACACCACAACACAAAACACACACACACACTACACGACACCGACACACGACACCACACACACAACACACCACTGTACACACCACACTGCACGACACACGTTACACAAAGTTAACCGAACTCGGGGGATCATGACGCTGGTCATCCTTGAGTTCACTGTTTAAGGAGTGGTGATTTTTCGATTTACCTATTTATGTCCACGATAAGAATAATGAGTTGATGAAACGGACGACCCTCTACCCTACTCCTCTCTCTTCTCTCCTCTCTCTCTCTCTCTCTCTCTCCCCTCTCTCTGCCTCTCTCTCTTCCTCCCCTCTCTCTCCTACAGTAAAATGTGACTAATGTAAGTTTCACAAAAACTTGCCGAGTTTGTGAACGGGATGTACGATGTGAAAGTGAAGTCTATTTTACCTGGGAACCCTTAAAATAACTACGATGTTCAGACAACAAAAAGTAGTCGGTGAAAAAAGGTACCCGGGTGAATGAATGGGGTAGTATATAGAGGACGGAAGATATTCAGTTCATCGTGCTTACTCAGGACTTGAGTCAATCGTAAAATAGTGAACTGACGAAGGAACTCGCAATGGTTCTAGTTGACGAAAAAAATGTTGTTCAAACCCCAAGTTTCGTCCTGAATTCTCAGACACCCGATTGTGTTCGGACTTCTTTAAAACAAAACAGATTGCTGTAGTTTCTTAGTCAATGGTATGAGGTGAGCACTTATTAGCTTGCGGAAGATACGAAAGATTTATGTCGGCGCAACGGGGCATTGTTCACTTACTATAGTGCGATGATTTCGCAAGTAGTCCGAGTCTTAGTGCTCCAGAGAGGTCGATACACAAGACGAGCCTTATTCGGGATTTGTAAGACGAAAAAGTAAGACCGCTCTACGGTAACGAGCAATGAGACGCAAACAAGTCTCTACAAAATAAAGATCGGGTCATTTATAAGGTTTTAGCTACCTTAGGCTTAGCCCTAAAACTGTTTGCGAATTAGACGCGGCTAATTTGTGGTCCCAGTGTCTGTCCTGTAACCAACCTGTGTGGGACAGAATGTCCTGCGTTTTATTCAGACTCAAAATCATAGTTTTACACCCTTTAGGATATAAAGCACAGGTTGTTGTGTGATAGAAGTCTCCTAAGTCGTGTAAGGGGCCTTAAAAGGGTACTATAAGGTTCCTCGCCGTCCAGCAGTAATGAGACAACGGTCGAAACGACAGTCTGTTTGTCCTAGTTTAAGTTACTGGGAAAATGGAGAGAGAGAGAGAGATGAGAGAGAGTAGAGAGAGGAGAGAGAGAGAGAGTAGAGAGAGAGAGGCTTAGAGAAGAGAGAGAGTAGAGAGAGAGAGAGAGAGAGAGAGAGAGAGAGAGAGAGAGAGAGAGAGAGAGAGAGGAGAGAGAGAGAGAGAGAGAGAGAGAGAGAGAGAGAGAGAGAGAGAGAGGAGAAGAGAGAGAGGAGGAGACGGGGGGTTGGGGGAGGGGAGGACTGCCAGTGGTGTCGGGTAGTGAGGGGAGGGGCTGACGGTCGACCATGAACGGGAGACCCATTGTGACTTATGACTGCGTCAAGGGCTAAAGGTACCCGTTGACAGGGTGACTCTTGGGGTCGTAGGAGTCGTTTGGTCGTTCCGCTGAGTTGCGTGTGTCCTGTGTGTCCTGTGTGTGTCTCATAAA